CTGGGAACTGCGGGGTTCTGTCGCCTCTGGATAGCAGGTTTCGCTTCTTTGGCTGCTCCTATCTATCCTCTCCTTAAAGGGGAGGCCGCCTTCATCTGGGGCCCGGACCAACAACAGGCCTTTGACGAGATCAAAAGGGCCCTACTGTTGGCCCCAGTCTTGGCCCTCCCCGATGTGGACAAGACTTTCACCCTCTACATAGAGGAAAGGCAAGGCATTGCACGAGGAGTCTTAACTCAGACCTTCGGCCCCTGGAAACAACCTGTGGCTTACTTGTCAAAGAGGCTAGACTCTGTAGCCAGCGGGTGGCCACATTGTTTAAAAGCCATCGCAGCCGCTGCTATAGTAACCAAAGACGCAGACAAATTAACTTTGGGACAAAGCTGACTATCATAGCTCCACACACTCTGGAGAGTGTTATTCACCAACCTCCAGATAGATGGCTCTCCAACGCCAGGATTACTCACTACCAAAGCCTCCTGCTAAATAAGGACTGGATATCATTCGGTCCACCCACTACTCTCAACCCAGCCACCCTGCTGCCCAAAGAGATGTCAGAACCAGTCCTCCACACCTGCCAAGAGGTCCTGGCAGAGGAGACTGGAATCCACCGAGACCTCACTAACCTGCTGCTTCCAGATGCTGAGGTAACTTGGTACACGGATGGCAGCAGCTTCCTGCTGGATGGTAAGAGACATGTGGGAGCCACGGTTACTGATGGGACTCGAGTTATCTGGTCATCAGGACTACAAGAAGGCTCTTCTGCACAGCGGGCAGAACTAATTGCCCTTACTAAGGCTCTAGAACTGGCTGAGGAAAAGAGAGCGACTATCTACACTGACAGCCACTACGCTTTCGCCACGGCACCTGTTCACAGAGCTATCTATCAACAAAGAGGGCTCCTTACCTCAGCAGGAAAAGAAATAAAAAATAAACAAGAAATACTTAGACTTTTGTCAACTATCATGTTGCCACAAAAGTTGGCTATAGTACATTGCAACAGCCATCAAAAGGGCTCTAGCCCCATTATAAAAGAAAACAACCCTGCTGATAAAACTGCTAGACAAGCTGCCCTAGACACTCCTACTGTCCTAACCCTAGAGACAGCCGAGCCACCTGAACTGCCTACACCCCCCCACCTAATGGAGGAACCAGAGCTCCAAACTTACTTCCAACAGGTTCATAAGTTAACTCATTTGTACATCAAAAAGCTTTGCCTCCTGTCCCAATATCAAAACACCAGCGAGCTCCCGCTATCCAAAATCTATAAACTGGCCAAACAAATTGTTGAGAACTGTAAAACTTGTCAGCTCGTTAATTCACATCCCTCTAAATCTATAAAAGGAACGAGACTACGGGGAGAACGGCCCAGATAACATTGGGAAATAGATTTCACTGAAATAAACCCCACTAAATACGGACTCAAATATTTACTAGTTTTTGTAGACACTTTTTCAGGATGGACTGAGGCCTTTCCCACCAAGCGGAAAACGGCACAAGTAGTGGTCAAAAAGTTGACGGAAGAGATTTTTCCTCGGTTTGGCATGCCAAAGGTAATTGGGTCTGACAATGGGCCGGCATTCCTCGCACAGGTAAGTCAGGGAGTAGCCAAGGTGATGGGGATTGATTGGAAATTTCATTGTGTCTATAGACCCCAAAGTTCAAAACAGGTAGAAGGGATGAACAGAACAATAAAAGAGACCTTAAGAAAATTAGTCCAAGAGACTGGCTTTAAAGATTGGACCATGCTCCTGCCTTACGCCCTATTCTGGGCTAGAAACACTCCAATGACTAAGCCTCCTAACCTAACTCCGTTCGAGATCCTACATGGTACCCCACCCCCAATTTAGATCACAGCCCTTGGCCTAAAGACTTAAGAATGCCTCACATCCCTCTAGCTGATAGACTCTTATTGCTTGACCAGATCCAGCGTGTCTTTTTTTTAATTTTTTTTATTTTTTATTTATTTGAGAGAGAGAGAGAGAGAGAGAGAGAGAGAGAGAGAGAGAGAGTGGTGTGTGTGTGTGTGGCCAGCTCAGCCCACCAGGGGGCGGGGCTGGCTGGCATGTGGTGCTGGGGGATTGAACCGCGGTCCCTGATGCTTTGCCAAGCTTGTTCTAAGTAGGTGCCTTAGACCACTGAGCCATCTCTCCAGCCCCCAGCGTGTCTTATGGAGTCAATTGTCTGCTGCCTATCAGCCCAGTGACGGACCAACACCTCATAACTTCCATATAGGAGACTACGTGTTCGTCCACCGACACCAGATCGAAACCCTACAACCCCGCTGGAAGGGACCTTATCAGGTACTGTTAACTAACCCCACTGCAGTCAAAGTTGATGGCATCGCTTCCTGGATCCACGCGTCTCATCTCAAGCCTGCTCCCCCGCCGTCCGACCATGAATGGACTGGAAAAGACTGATAATCCTCTTAAGGTTCGGGTTGTAAGACTACTGGCCCAAGACCCAATTAGAGAAAATAACCCCAATCCCCACCAACCGTGGAAATGGAGCCTTATAAGATGGGAAGACACCACTCTGATAAAAACATGGACCGGACCTGGATCTCCCCCGTTCCGGGTGCTCATCTGCCAGTTAACTGTTATAACTCCTTGTACACGTACAGAGTCCATTTATATGTGCCCTGCCTCTAACCTAGGAAAGGGATATTGTAACAGCCCGGGACATTATTACTGTGCTTATTGGGGTTGTGAGACACTGGCTACCGCCTGGAGTGCCTCGGGAGACCAATTCCTTAAATTAGGAAGGCCTTACGGGTGCACCCCCAATGCAGCAGAGCGATCTACCAGACATATCACCCGTGGCTCCCCACCTTGTTTTGAAGTCTGGATTAATATTTCCCAACCTAAAGATCCGGGTTGGATGACCGGACGCACCTGGGGCGTCCAATATTGGGAGGAAAAAAACAGATAGAGGGGGCTTAATTTTTATAAAAAAGGAACCGGTTCTCAAGGAACCCCTTGGGATAGGACCCAATCCTGTTCTGGTTGAAAATCCCCCAGACTTACCAGCTACCTCAAAGCCTAAAACTACCTCTGCCACGCCGCACCTCATGACCCCCAAACTTGTGCCCACTGTTCCTTATGAACAAGATAACCAAATATATGTCCGACTATACAATCTTATATTGGGGGCATATTCAGCCATCAACCATACTCAGGCCAGCCTTACTCAATCTTGTTGGTTATGTCTGTCAGCTTCACCACCCTATTATGAGGGAGTTGCTCTCAATGGAGACTATGCCACCAGTATCTCTGGCTCTGGCTGTGACTGGGATCAAAGCCATAAACTCACCTTCTCAGAAGTAACAGGATGTGGGACTTGTATAGGAAACCCCCCTACTCATATAAAACCCCTATGCTCGGCCATTTACCAAATCAAAAATACAAATATATTTCTTCACACCCCCACAGGCCTAAAATGGGCATGTGACACTGGGATAACTCCCTGTGTGTCTACCAGGGTTTTTAATACTTCTGTAAACTATTGTGTAATGGTATCTATATTCCCCCGAGTTTTCTATCATTTGGGGACAGAATTAGAATACAGGATAATGGGCGAAGCCAGACCCATAAGGGAACCAGTTTCTATCACCTTGGCTGTAATTATGGGAGTAACTGCCGCTGCTGGCATAGGCAAAGGGACTGCAGCCATTATACGCACTAACAAACAAATAATCCAGCTACAAGCTGCAGTTGATGAAGATTTAAAAACTATTGAGACATCTGTCATGGCCCTTCAAAATTCTTTAAACTCCCTTTCTGAAGTGGTCCTCCAAAATAGACGTGGGCTTGATTTACTTTTTCTCAAAGAAGGAGGGCTATGCACAGCCTTGAAAGAACAATGTTGCTTTTACACACAACATTCAGGTGGTGTCAAAGAGTCTATGGCAAAACTAAGGGAAAGATTAGAACAAACACATAAAGAATGTCAGGCCCAACAAAATAATTTTGAATCTTGGTTTAATCATTCACCTTGGCTGACTACCTTACTCACGGCCCTGGCGGAGGCACTGATACTGCTCCTCTCAATGACTATTGGGCCCTGTATAATTAATAGAGTCATAGATTTCGTCTGCAACCAAATAGGTAATGTCAAACTGATGATTATTCGACAACAATATGAGGCCCTAACCACCAACAACTCAGATCTCTAGGATTAGAGATTTCCAACACAAAAAGGGGGGAATGTAAGGCCCAGATGATTTTTAAGTTCAAACTCTGGTTAGAAGAAGACCACCCAC